GGCCTTGTGCAGGGATCTTCCTTGATATATATATCAGTCGTGTTCAATGTGCGATCGGAAACGGACGCGCTGCACTACTTTGTGAGAATTATTTTAATTCGCGATTTTGCGCGGCTTAGGCTGCTGCATGTACGTAAGTGACAATGTGTTCCCAACAACTCATTGTCAATGAGTTTCTGGCATTCGTGCAGAATGCCATCGACACAATGGATGAAGTCAGCATCGAGCAGATCTGCAAATCTAATTTCAACGAAGATGAGATTTGCAGTGGCAAGATGCTGCTGTTCCAGAGCTGCGGCAAAGCGCAGCAGATGCCATCTCGTCGGAGGGATGGAGGCTTGAAGAGTGTCCAGGATGTTACTGCATTCTTGAAGAATACCGATCCGGACGACGTGCCTACTTTCGTGGCGAAGGAGCTGCACAAGTTGCCTCCGGTCACCTTTGACCACGTCGACGTCACCAGGCTGTTAAAGGACATCACGTCCTTGAAGTCGAGTTTGGCTGAAGTTCAGTCAAAATTGGAGGCGTCGGATAACTCCATAAGTGAGCTACGTGCCGAAGTTGCGTTGTTACGCAACCCCGCTTCGGTATGTAGGTCACCGACAGTCTCCTACGTCAACACGCGTCGCGGGGCGCGAAAAGCATCCGTCGGCAGTATTGAGTCGGCTCGTATGTCGCCGGTCATTGCTGTTGTCAATGCACCGTGCCCCCCTGCCCGCCCCTCCGCCTCGGAGGTTACGTCACCCGTATGCACGTCATCGCCCGGGCGTGCATACGCCGCTGTTGCCGCGACTATTAGCAGCGGAACCGCGACTTCAAAACCCGAGTTGCGGAAAACTGCAAAGGGCGGTAGTAAACCCCGAATGCCTGTCTCTGGAATCGCAGGTGCCAAATCTCAGAGGCAGACCGACAGGTGCGACGAGGACGGCTTCACAAAGGTGGAGAAGAGAAGAAAGAAACCCACCAGCCGAAATCTATGTGGCACAGCTCTAACGGGACAGAACTTCTTGCTTCGTGCGGCCATACCGACGACGCAGTTGTACCTGTCTCGACTGCATTACTCCACGAAGTCTGAGGATATAGTGGAGTATATCCGGTTGAAAGCCCAATTCACCCTGAGGGTCGAACGTTTGGAGTCTCGCCACAACGTTAACTTTAATTCGTTTGTGGTGAGGGTCCCAACGGCCCATCTGTCGACCTTCATGCAGGTAGAGTTTTGGCCGAAGGGTGTCAGGTTCCGGCGGTTCAGAGGAACGATACATGACACTTGTTTGCGTCGCACGTCGCCGAATAGTAATTCGTGTAAATAGTTAATATTTTATATGTATGTTAGTTTGTAAGGTATGTATCAATAATAATAATAATATGTATGTTAGTCTGTAAGGTATTTGTTATATGGGCCTTAGTTGCCTGAAATAAATGAATAAATAAAAAAAAAAAATATAGCAAAGGCCTTCGACACGGTGTCCATCCCAATCCTGCTGAGAAAGCTCGAGATGATGGGAGTGAGAGGGGTGGCTGGGAACTGGTTTCGGAGTTACTTGACGGGAAGGAAACAGTGTATTAAAATTGACTGTCTTGCCAGCAGCATAAAACCAGTGTACTTTGGTGTCCCCCAAGGAAGCATATTGGGGCCATCATTATTTTTAGTCTACATCAACGATTTATTATCTATCTCTTTACCCAATTCCTCAGTCGTATGCTACGCTGATGATACGGCCGTGATCTTCTCCGACAAAACATGGCCTGAGTGTTTTCGAAAAGTTGAACAAGGCATGTCACATATTTCAAACTGGTTAAATCACAACTTACTAACCTTAAATGTTTCGAAAACTAAACTCTTGTGTTTCCATAAAACGAAAGCCTCAGCCCCTAGGGACGGGGTGACTCCGACTATTAGAGTTCATACTTGTGGACATCATACGAGTTCCAGCGCATTGGGAGCGCGGCGGGCCGACTGTAGTTGCGAACAGATTCTTCGATCATCCACCGTACGCTATTTGGGCGTGACCGTGGATGAGAGGCTGACCTTTGCAGCTCACATTGAAGTAACGTGTGCCAGGGTGCGCAAGCTGATACACACCATGAAGCTTCTCAGAGAAGCTGCAGATTTGCGCCTGCTAACAGCAATTTACCTCGCACTATGTCAATCCATCTTAAGCTATTGCATCTTGGTGTGGGGAGGCTCTGCATCCTGCTATATGATCAACCTGGAGAGAGCCCAAAGAAGTGTGCTAAAGGTGATGTTGCGCAAACCCTATCGTTACCCCACGATCTCGTTATTTGAGGACGTGAAGGTCCTAAGTGTGCGGAAACTGTATATTCTAAAAGCTGCCCTTAATATGCACGCGAAAGTTCTTACCTCTCCGGAATATCCTTCTTTACTTAGGAATCGCGTATTTAAAGTGAAAATGCGACCGGTAGCAACAATATTTGCCCAACGCTTCGGGACCTTCGCATTTCCTTTCATTTACAACAGAATTGCAAAAATATGCGACATTAAAGAGAGGTCTATTTACAAAGCGAAGAGGATTATTGGGTCACATATGCAGACTTGGAACTATGAACATACAGAAAGCTTCCTAAGAGTCGTTAGGTGAGTGGGTTGGTTGTGGTTTTTGGTTGTTGCCATTCATTGTTTTGACAGGAGTTGTCAAATTCTACTGGTGGTACAAAGGCTACTGGTGTGAGTTTCCAATTGTGAAAAAAAAAAAAAAAAAAAAAAAAAAAATCGATTTTCATTCCCGTGAAGCACCTTAGTAGTTGGTAATTATTATTGTTAAATATAAATACTTATTTTTTGTACTAATATGTTAATCACAATTATTTTAAATTCATGCTATTGTAATAATAATTCCTATTCTTATGTTAGATTTAATAGATTAAGTTCTTATTATTTGTGTAATATAATCGTAGGTAACGTAACGAGTAAATTGAAGCCGTAAAAAGGTCGCCACAGGACAGGCTTAGCCTAGTGTGGGACCACCTGTAATGACTCACAATGTTTTCAGGCTTGGCATCACGTTAACAATGCATGTTTTTGTTAATGTCTAACACACACTTAATGTTCATTTAGCATAAGTATCATGTTCTTGTTTTAAAAATGAAAATATGTAAAGTATTTTGTATTTCTGTGTGTTTGTGATGTCAATAAACATTATTCTTATTCTTAAAAGACTACTGTGTAACTACCTACTACCCAAACTCTTCAGTACAGAACTACAGATATCAACCGAAGTCAAGTACTTGGGAGTAATACTGGACAACAAGTTGAATTGGAACAAGCATCTGGACAACAAAATTAAAAAAGCCACTATCACCTTCTGGCAGTGCCATAGAATGGTAGGTAAACAATGGGGACTCTCACCCAAAATAACACTATGGCTCTACACAGCGGTGATAAGACCCATGATCAGTTACGGCGCGATAGTATGGTGGCCACGAACCAAACTGACGACCGCAACCGACAAGCTGGACAAATTCCAAAGACTGGCTTGCATGGCAACGACCGGTTGCATGAGGACAACTCCGACTGCGGCCCTTGAAGCGATGCTGGACCTGCGACCCCTCCCAATGTTCATCAGACAGGAAGCGGCGTCAACAGCAGTGCGTCTAAACAGAACCGGCCTTTGGAAGCACATGAGGACGCCACATACAGAAATCCTTTATAAGACAGTCAATGAGGAACCCCTACTGGAGGCGGCTGTGGATAGGATCCCAAAACAGTACATCTTTGACAAAAAATACAAGATACAATTGTTTTAAGATCCAAATGAAGGACTGAACCCCAGAGAGGTCCGCGTCTTCACCGATGGATCTAAAACAAATTCAGGAACAGGTACTGGGGTATTCTCAGAAGACCTCTATATCAGGATATCAACACCGCTTGGTGACCACAACACAGTATTCCAGGTTGAATGCATGGGCATCAAGTTGGCGGCAGAAGCAATCATAGCGAGAAAAGTAAAGAACACTCTATTCGAATACTCTCTGACAGTATGTCAGTACTTCAAGCACTGAACAGCTATGACATAAACTCAGGGCTCATTTGTGAATGCCATCAAGCACTCATGGAGGTATGTATACAAAACCACTTAACTCTACAGTGGATTAAAGGACTAAGCGGCTCACGTGGCAATGACGCAGCAGATGAACTAGCCAGAAAAGGGTCGGAGACAGACGCAGTAGGACCAGAACCCATAGTGTCCCTCCCCTACCAATGGTCCAGAACAACTATACACAAAGGTAAAAAAACTTCACATAATAATACATGGACCACCCTTACGGTTTGTAGACAGGCGAGAGAAGCACTCCCAAAGCTCAATGCCAGTCTATCACGAATATTAATTAAACTCAACAGGCAAGAGCTTCGCACTCTAACTGCCGCCCTAACAGGTCATGGTCCATACAATAAACACCTTTTCAATTTAGGTATCACAGACAGCCCTCTATGCAGAGCGTGCATGGAGGGGAGGAAACGGCTGCGCACATCCTACTACAGTGCTCCGGCGTGGCCAACTACAGGGCAAAGTACCTTGGAGTGCCAAGGTCGCTCCATGAAGTCTTCAGCAATCCGAGGAGGCTGCTGAGATTCCTGGAGGAGCTTGGGTGGCACGAGTAGGACCCTGCACCCACCACACGCAAAATAGGCGCCTTGACGTCGAGTTGCGGACACTAGCTCGTTACACCAAGTACCAAGTAAGGCCAACAGATGGCAGCTATTACATTTTAGTCGGCAAGGTTACTAGTTTTGTTAAGGTGTTGACTTTATATAGGTACAATAAAATCGCAGAGAAGCTAAGTCTGTGCTTTCAATATTTTAAAGTAAAAGTCAGTGCTAAAACGTTATACTTTGTATTTTTTTTAATCCAAGTGTCGCCATCTACAGTTTCAAATATGTACTAAAGTTCTTGTATGAAATAAATTGATACTTCAAGTTTACATCTACTGATCTAATGCAGGGACATTCGTGAATATATAGCCAGTGTACAACAACTTACCTTGTCATCATACAACTGACAGATCCTTTGCTTCTCTGCATGTGCGGACTTCAACTTGTTCGCTAAGAGCTCGGTCTCCACCAAAGCAGCCTTTTCAGCAGCACTGGCCTTCTCAGCAGCTCTTCTGGCTTCTATGGCAGTACATTCGACGCTTGCATAGCGCATTACCGCAGCGTCCTTCTCACGTTCAGCCTGCTCTACCCGTTTGCTCATCTGTAAACATATTGTAATTTGATTCTTTTAAAAATAAAATATCAAATAATGTTGTAATATAATTCTACACTCTCCCTTTGTGCATGTGCAGTGCAACTTTATTTAAAAAAGCAATTTGTTTCTGTAATAGTCTGTGTCAGTTCTCTGCTGTTGTAGATTCTCTGTTCAGTGAATTCTATTTGAATTCGAATAAAGAGATCCAGAAGAAGCAACTGGCAATAGCATCATTAAACTTTAGGTTTGTTCAGATACAACCAATATTCTCTACAGCTGTAGATAGCGAAAATTCTGCATGGTACCATTAATAGTACGAAGTTTCGCAGCTAGAGCGAAAAGATGCCGCTCAGTATCAGCTTGCCATTGAATATCGTGAGAAAAATCTTGTTGATATTATCCCATGTGTAGAGCGACATAACTGTTATGTAAACTGCACGAGAAGTAACAACTCCTTGTACTGCGCAATTGCCTCAGGAACTAAATCGGTAATGCAGTACGCCTGTAAAAATAGTATAACAAAATTTATTCTTCTTACCAAGTCTAGCTTAGCCTCCACTTCTTTAGAAGTGTGATCCTTCTCTTGCACCTCATCAACCAGTTGTTTAACCTGCTCACGTAAACAAGTGTTCTCCTTCCTCTGTTCAGACAACAGCCTCTCTAACATTTCTACTTGTAGCTTTAAAACATCTTTTTTTGCATTGCTTTCTTGTTCTGATACTTGCACTTCTGATAACTTAATTGCTTCATCTACTATAGGAATTTCCAGAGGTTTTTCAACAGTTATAATAGAGCTTGATTCGTCTTCAAATATGTCATTCATAACTTTGCCATTTGATACTGGTTTTACAACATTCTTTATAGCAGGTTTATGAGCTCTCTGATGAATATACGCATTCTTCAAGCTACCACTGACAGATGAAAATATGCCATGTACATTTTTCACAATACTTCCTAAGTCTTGTGAAAGGAGTTCTTTCGGTAATCGTGCATAACGTAAATCAATGTTAGTATAGGATTCAGGTACAGGTTTATGTGGTAATAGTGTTGATTCAGGTATTTTCTGGGTTGCCGTTACTTTGTTCTTTTGGTTTGTAAACTGTGATAGAATTGTTTCCATATTTAATTCTTTGTGACTGGAATTAAGATTTGAATCAACATTCTGGTCAATTGTTGATATATTCTCTGCACTTTTACTGTACAGAGATTTCGAGATTGTCTTAATATTACTGACTAATGGGGATTTTTGTTCATCTAAGCTTACAGTGGATGTTGTCAAATTACTGAAACCTGATTGATTTTCGTTCATCATTTTCGGACTTTCATGACTTTCAGAATGATCTCCAGCTTGTAAATCATCTGTAGAATCTGTCACAGACCCTTTCAACGCATTCTCAGCACAAACAATTCCCGCTTCTTTGATGAGTTCTTCTATATTTAATTCTTCATCTTCAATAAGTGCATGGTCAGTATAATTCATGATATTATCAATTTTGTTCAAAGATAACTCATCGAAACTTAACAGATTTTCTGTAGCGTCAATTATATCCGGTGATACGGAAATGGAACTCGATAAAGACGCGTTTGTTTCCTCTATTGTGGTCATTTCGTTATAAGTTTTCATATCTTTTTTTGCTGTGTTTTTCGAGTTTTCGGCTAACTTTGTTTCACTAGTTAATTCAGTAGGAAGCGTAACGGAGCTCGAATATTCAGAATCAACGCCCGAATCATTACTTATTTCACTTTTAGAAGAATTTTCAACCACGGAAGAGCCAAAGTAAGCACGATCAATATGGAAGTCATTTTCCGTGCTTTCTTCAGACATTGTAGCAATTTACGTTTTATGCGTCACGAGAAATACTTTGAATTTTATATGTGTGAACATAAAAGCCATGAATACAAGAGAATAATATTAGTTTTATTGAAAATAAACATCGATCTATCTGACAATACAGTGGTAGTTTTTTGACATATCTAAAGTATTTTCTCGTGCACACTAGATCTACACAAAAATAAAAAGTGCAATTTTGAAGACTTTTGTAGTTCTGAAATACAGATTCAAAACAATTTAGCAATAAAGTAAAATAATATAACAAGGAAGGTGCAGATATATTAATAATGTTCAAAATATAATTTGCTAGTTCTAGTATTTACCCTATAAAAGACCTAATGACCCGATAAGGTTACTATATTAAAGTTACAAGTATAGAATAGTAGATTTCGTAGAAAATGTGAGATTTTTTTCCTCCAGTTTAAAGTTCATTTTATTATTAATGTTGATGTAAAAGTAAATTTTATACTAGTTAAATAATTGTCTACCACAACTCCTTTAATACAATGAATGTGAAAGTTTTTACAAATTGTATGGTTATATTCTCGATATAAATTAGCAACATTAGATAGAAACGTCAAGTAAAGTGTTGCTATTAAGCTAAAGGCTTACTATTTGTGTTATTAAATCTTTTTTCCACTGACTTATTAACTGCTTAAAAATAGAAAAAAAAATAATTTTTATAACTTTTCCTGTAACAAGAGTATATTCATGATTAAGTTAATAATCATATTATGTTTGTTTGACCGGGTTTTGGAAATAAAAAATAATGCCATTTCAAATGTTTGCAGTATCCATGCGAAATAAGCTATCAACATCGGACATGTCATTCATTTTCAAATGGAACTGGAAAAGTAGGTCGCGAGTATTGATTTTTAGCCAATATTCGACAAACAAAGACGTGCTAACATCGTTCTGTGCACCAAAAGCGTTTCTCCACCATTTTCCACAAAAGAAGCCTCCAAAATGCCTGTAAGTATAACTTAGAATTCCGTCACATGACCATGCGATGAAAATCGCGATTTTGATTTCGTAATACACATTTCCTTTGTTCATTGTACATTTTCTCCTTTACTATGCTATCTTCGTATCCCAGATAAAGTCTCCATGACAATTTTCAACAGTCTATACGTACTCCGACACGTTTTTTTTCGATATCATTTTAGCAAGTATGAGTCATTAATAACGCGTAGTATTTCCGCTCAGGGTCATTCGTAGTCTGTAATACGACATCTGCTTACTACGCATTCGTTAGAAACCTTGAATTTTCTATACATCACGTTATAACTTTCGAACAATGGTGATTGTACCTAATTTTTTCGCAACATTGCCTATTTCGACGTTTCTGTGAGATGTGATGTTAAAATTTCCTTGTTGGGCGATGTTGGAGTTATCGATTATACTTCCGTGTTTCGTAATTCCCTGTACTGTTGTAATTAATACTTTCAAAGTGCTCAATTAAGGTCTACTTTTCATTATTTAAACTCATCTTCAAATATGCAAATTATTTTGTATTGAATCCATACTTCTATCACAAAGACTTTACACCTACCTACTTATAAGTACATCTATGTACTTTAACAGCTATAGCTTGGATGAAGAACATGTCTCCTTTTAAAGTTTGTTAATACAATAATTTTTTCAACTTAGCCTCTTATTACTATGTCCTGGTTCTTCTTTGTTGCCTATCTTTATCTAGGCTCTCCTGTTTTGTTTTTTTTTTGTGATTCAGTCTGGTTCTGCTTAAAGGTTCAATCTTAAGCTAGGGTGAAAAACATTTCTAATTTTAAATTTAAAAAAAATCCTGTATAAACAAAATAGCAATCAAGTCTGTTACTATTTCCTGGCTGTATGTTACCTAATTATGAATTCAGTTTTTTGTCCTGGTCTTTTTTGTTGTCTATCTAGTCAACAGTCACTCATCTTTGTTAGTCATTCTGTCTATATATTATTAGACTTCACTCAACTTGAGTCTGTTAGAAACAATGTTATGTTCATAAGTCTTCTGCTCTTACCCTAATTAAAGTACAGTCATATCATTAGAAATAAATGAGATTTTTCGGATATTGTACAATTATTGTATTTTTTGTCTTCATCAACGCAGCCATAGTGCTGTCTTCTACAGTGAAGCATTTTTCCTTATAATGTTAACAACAATTTTTGTGGTTATTTGTGCGTCTTTCTAAAAAAGTTATTACTGTCGAAGTAAAAGAAGAAATACCATTTATAAATTTTAAAATAGTGATAAGTGTCTGCATAGAAGTATATATGGTGAGGAGTTACTAAAGTTTCAATAAATACTAATTTCAAGTCCCACCTGACACAATATATATTTTTATTTTAACCAATAAATATACAATCTATTGGCATTTACTTTTGTAAAAGTAACAGTTATGCTAAGGGTCATTATTTTGGCTTGGTTGGTCATTGTGCACGTAAATAGGAATGTAAATATTAAGATTTGAAAGTGTGTGCCACACGTCACAGCGATGGGTGGGACACACTTCTGAACATTTTTTCTTTGAATAAATGTTTATATACTTATGGATTCGAGTTTTACTATGATCTTCACTAGGTGTAATAGTTGCTTTAATTTCGGAGTTTAACATTGATGTGTTAAATTGTGATGATTGGGACACCATTTTGTGACAGGTGGGACAAGTTACATTTGAATACATAGAATTTAAAAAAATACATTGTTTAGATGTAGATCCATCATTTGCAAGCAAATTTTTTATAATTCTCATAATTAAGACATTATAATACATAAAAAAAGACAATTAAAAAGTGACAACATTTTTCCTGATGATTTTTAGAATCAGAAAGTTCATGAAAAGTCGGTCTTTTCTACATTTAACTATATATTCAAGCAAAACTTCTAAAATTCGATATATTTTGATATGATACATAATCTTCAAGGATGCGGCAGGATTTTTCAAATTTATTAACGCATTTTACATGCGTTGTTTTTAATTTCATGTTGTCATAGATAGTGCTTCAAGAAAAATAGTTAGATTACTTTGTCAGTTCTTTAATTCTGTTTTTTTTTTTATGATAAAATGTCTTAATAAGACAAATATTATAAAATATTTGCTTAGAAGTTTAGAAGTTTTTAGTATAAATAATGTCATAAATTTATGTAAATAAATAGTCGCAGTTGAATTGCATATCTGGCTTCTTGATATTTTCATTGTAAGTCTAATTAAAATGGTTAGGGAGAAATTACATAAAGTTCAAGAAAAAGGAGTCAAAATGTCCCACCCATCACTTTGGAATAGCCCAGTAATTAAAGCAAGCTTTGAAGTTATAACCACAATACTTGTATAAAATATACAATGATAATTATTTGATATTTATAAAATTAATTAGATCAATAAAATGCTACGCTAGCAATGTTGTGCCAGTTTTGTGTTTGTATCAGAGACATATCTATAAATGTCAAATATCAATCTCAAAAAGTCATGAATCAAATAATTTTCCTAAAAATTTTTGTGTGTTAATTCAGTTTTCTCCCTGAATATATAAATCAGTATGGATATGTATCGCTTATGTGACATTCTGCAGATTTTTCAGGAGATCATGTTTTTGGTTTTAACGACTGTTCAAAATATGTAGCGTCCTATTTTAAAATTCAGTTTTGTTTTTAATTACGTTTAAGTTTTAAAGTTCAGTTTTAAAACACATATTTTAAAACAGTCGTTAGAACTCCCCTGAAAAATCGACGATATGTCGCTTATAAAACACTGACGATATATGTTATGTAAGAATGAATCTTAACAACTCAGTGAATAATTAATAATAAGTTGTTTTCTGATCGGCTTAATGCGAGTCCGCGTCGTGTGGTAACTCCTTAAGATAACATAAGTTTACACGGGCCTCGTTCTGCACAGGACGCAGAGCTTACAGCTCCAACAGTAGAAAATGTCCGCGTCGTCGTCCGCGTTCGTCCCATGGACCAACGGGAAAAGCTGGAAGGAGCATACAACTGCGTCTCCGTGGACGGAGTCAACAACACTATAGCTGTCACGCGCAACAATGTCAATCCGCCTGAACCGCCAAGGGTGTACGCATACGATGCGGTGTTCGACTACAACACGAGCCAGGTAAGTCAAGTTTTGTCCTGATTGTCCTGTCTTTTCGGTTAATCAATTTTTGTTTCAATATAAATAAGAGCGTGTGTTGAAACGGCGCGCGGCGACCGAATGCGTGCGCTTCGAGCTATGAGATGAAGGGAGATGCTACACGGGTGTTGCGTCGTCGCAACTGCGTTTATTCCAACGGACTGAGTGCCGCATGAGCTGTTCCGTCGACACGCGCTGTTTCAACACACTTTGTGACATTTCGTCCTGATTTATATGTAGTATACCGCAGTTGCGACGACGCAACGCCCATGTGGCATCTCCCGAAGTGGGGAGGGGTACTGCGGTTCATAAGGACGCCGTCAAATTAGACGTTTCAAAAGTTTTTAGTTCACTGCTTGTGACTGGAAAAGTGGACTGCTACTGCGCGTCTAAATATTGTATAAAAATGAGTAAAATGGCGTTACGTTTCGACACTACATTGCTTGTGTCACATTCGGTGCACTGAAGTCACAACGTTGCCACGACGCAACGCACCGGCAGCGCCCGTGTGGCATTGCTCTCTTATATGTACAGTTTTTATTGTATTTAAAATGTCTTTTTATTTGTATTTTATGTATTCACTGGTACAATTGTGTAATAAATGTAGCCCCGACTTAAGACCTAGATATCGATATTTATATATATATATATATATATGTATATATAACCACAATACTTATATACATCTTTACTATATATATATATATATATATACTACATATTATATATATATATAGTAAAGATGTGTTACTGTCGAATTGCTGCAGTCCTTAACATAATTAAGTTAACGACATTTTAGCGAAATTGAGTTATTAAAATATCTGGAATCAGCGAGACCAGATCTACAATCTCTTATACGCGGTTTTTAATACCTTATTTAGTTTCAATTTTATTGTTGAGCAAAATCAGCGTCATTGACATTTTTCGAAGAAAAAACAGAACGTAAGCTGCCAACGCTAATGCTATGCTGCAGCTTCCCTGGCGGTGTAGTGCGTCTGGCAAGTTTGCCTTGAATAGAGTAGATGATTTCGCCATAATGCGAAAGAGACATTGGTTTTTTTTACGAGAGTGAGCGATTCGGCCAATATAATTGTAAGGACAGTATGCGATACGTGCTACTTTGTAAGCGAACACTCCATTTTTAAATTATAAATAAATTAATTATATTTATTCTATTATTTGTAATGTAAATTCAATTTAATTTAATTCTTCATTAATAATAATAATTTTCTGTTAATAAAGTTCAATATTATTGTTATGTAACGTAATAAGTAATGTGAAATTTATTAATGGGTGTATACCTAAATAAAGAAACATTTTATTTATTTTTTATTTTAATATCCGAAAGTTACGAAAATGCAAATGCGTTAGTTACGACAAGGAGGGCACAGCAGTCTTTGCCGTTTTTTAATGGACTTTAAAAAAAGGAGGAAGTTCTCAATTCGTCTGTATGTTTTTTTTTTTTTTTTCATTTTGTTACGCGATAACTCCGCCATTTGTGAACCAATTTTGATGGTTCTTTTTTTGTTGAAAAGAAGGTACCTCAGATGTAGTCCCATTTAAATTTCAAGAAAATATTCCACCTCTAAGGGTGGCAAACTAGGGGATGATGAATGACTTTTGAGGTAGGTTTTTTAACCGGAGGTTAGGTTATTCTGTATCATTTTCATGCTGTGTATGAAAAGTATTCCTGCTAATGAAGACTGAAGAACCTGAAGACTTGGAGAATCTTACGCCACGCTCGCCCACCGTTCGCCTTGGCTTGTGGCGTTGGAATCGCCTCAGTCTTGTCGAATGGTGGGTCAGCGCTGCGTGCTCGCAACATTGCTACAAAAACCCGTCAACGTTACTACAATTTGAAGTACCTACCAGTAAAAAACAGAAACGCGAAACATAAAAAAAATACAATTGGCTGAAATTGCTTTTGCCTCCACGCTTGCTTCTTTGGCAATTTTTTTCCTAACCTAGACATTCGCCAACAAGAGTGATTTTTCTGTGATCGCATTGTCGAATATATTTTTGTTGAATCATATAATCTCATTAATGATAATTTTCATTATACGAAATAGCTTGGCACTATATTAGGGATGATAATGATAATAACTGATGATCTCAATGATAATTACTAAATAACAAATGATAATTAGTAATAAGCGGAATTGAAACCACTAAAAGAAAAGATAATTACTGCTGCATAAATCACACTCTTTAAAATAAATTGACGAAATAGAAACTGACAAAATTGATTTAAACAAAAATAACGTACGTCAGACATATGTCATTTGATTCGAGGCAAATATGGCATAATTGCATGTGATATCGTATAAATATCAATTGTCGATCTCATGGTCATATTCCATCTTGAGATAGAGGTCAAATGCGCGCTTATTCTTATTAGAAATTATTCGTATATAACAATAATAATTCATAATTTTATTCATTTACTAATTGTTACATGTGGGGTTAACAAAGATGTTACATAAATGTAATTCAGCACATGAACCCTGTAAGAGCACTGCAATGACTTCGTATGTACGAATATGTAATTATTACAGTTATTAAACATATGTTAAAAGTAAAATAAATATTTAGATCACAATAATTTACATTAAAAAGTGCATAAATATAGTGAAGTCAAGGAATTAAATCTTATAAGCACGAGTCTAATTGTTTAAAATAATATGTTTGAAGAAGAAAAACAAAAAATAAATAATCCTAACAAATGTTCCTAAATTATTAATGATGCTACAGCCGTTTAAATGAAAAACAATGATCGGCAACAAGTACATAGAGAAATTCGTGAAGTCTGCTGATTCGTTCCGTAGCTTAATTGAGAGAGTGGTTAGTCCCGGTGTGGCAAACACGTGCTGGTTCGATTCCACCCTGATCGAAGGGATTGAAACTTAATAGTTTAGTAAATTATTCATATTTTTTATAAATATATAATTTCGTCACTTTATTGTTACGGGTGCGCAAATCATAATTACTGAAGAACAAATTATAATAATTAAAAATGAAGAATCATTGATATGAGGACCATGGAAGATATGTTGGTGTGACACTCTGGACGCATTTCGCTAGTATAGTTGCGATTTTTAGAGCTGAGCTCTTGCGCCGGGAGTGTTATGCCATTAAAACATCGAGGGATACCAGCTGAAAACAGAAGAGAAGATTTATTTAAGGATTTATTTAAACGAAATTATGTTTAAATTTCATTGACGTTATAAATGTTCCATGTCATTAGTAATCACGTCGTTGCGGTGAAACTTTCGTGAGATGTTGTACCAATGTCTGCAGAAGTTTATGAACCATTTTTAACCGACTTCAAAAAACGAGACGGTTCCAAATTCGACTGTTTTTTCTTGTGTGTATATTACGCGATTACACCGACATTTGTGAATCGATTTCAATGATATTTTTTTGTTGGAAAGGGGTTACATTTGAAGAAAATATTCCATCTCTAAGAGGGGCAAATTAGGGTATGAATTCGGTTTATTGGAATTCTCCCATTTTCCGTTAACCGTTTTGAATAAAACTTGGTTAACAGATGTTTCCAGTTTTCAGGTCGTTTTTTTTATATAAAAAACTTATACAAAATAGGCGCCTGGACGTCGAGTTGCGGACAACAGCCCGTTACACCATATCAATTATAAAATATCAGGTGGACCAGTTATGTCAACAAAATGTGTCTACAGACGAAAAAGCTGTTTTTTTTATAATTTACCCAGTTCCTTGCCTAAAAATATGTTTAGTCAAACTGAAAAATAAGCCTCTGTTTCTGCTATCACTTCAATTTGACGCGAATCGGTAATAATACAGATAAAAAGGCCAATTGGGACTAATTTTGCGTATACGGGGGGATGCGAGTTCGTACTATAATTCTAAGTTTTGATGTTCTGTGCCTCTACCACAACTTTACTGTGACAGTTGTCGCTAGCGACCGCGTAAAATGTTTGTATACAAAATGTTGTTTCTTCTTGTGACCGCTAGGGGAGCTGTACAATTTCCCCATACAAAATTGTGAATTAATATACGCGGTAGCTAGCGACAACTGTCATAGTGTGAGAAACGGAATATTCCAAATTCCATTTTCTCCATCTTCAAAAAATATACGACCTCAATGTCATGTCATCGTAGGAACGTAGCCAATCTTAACTTTTTTATTTAATTTTTTTTTATTTTCGCGCTAATTTTAAACGTCAGTTGCATAGTAAGGAGTTCTAAATCAAGACATAAAAATAAGTTCCGAAAAAAGTTTTTATTTAAAGTCACGTATTTATCAAACCGCCCTCGTATTATTATAGCATCTTATAGAGGTATACTTCAAATAAATATAATGCTACCTACAAACATTGTGTTTGCTATATTTTGTACCACATTTTGACACTTCAATAACTACGCAATTACGATAACAATTCGCCTTAAAATGATTCATATTTTACAAATAATTTTGGTATTTCAGAGGGAGATATTATCCACTCCCATGCGCATTACTTCCTTAAAGTGTAGGTAAATATATTGTGACTATTTCGATATCTGGTTTATTACAAAGCTGTATTTAGAGTTTGCTCAATTTAATTGTAAATGAGACACTGAGCTTTTCGTTGGTTAAAATAAAAATCTTTCGCCTTGAAAACTGATGGAAACTGAGCGCACAGGCGCTCAGTTTCGTTAGGCGTTACGTAAACTAACACTCCTCCCGCACCGCGCAGCTTCTTCTAGAACCGCTCACTTAAGCGGGTAGGCCTGTAACTCATTCATCGAAAATTGACATACTAATTGAGTTTGGCCTCGGTACTCTCTGTAGTATTTTTTGTTAGCGAAATGGTTTTGGTTGATTCGAAAACCATAGGTCATTTAATTTATATAACAACGAAATGTCATTTAATTTGTTTGAAAACTATTCTGCCAAATAATTATGGTAACAACTGCGCTCCGATTGGCCAGCCCGAATTCGAAACAATTGACGGGTGTCGTCAATT